ACTGTACCCCTACACATCCCCCCTTTGGCCCAGAACTGTACCCCTACACATCCCCCCTTTGGCCCAAAAACTCTCAACCTTTGTTATTAATATAGTATAGTAATAATGAACTAAATGTTTCAGAGAACAAATCTTGGTATCAAAGCATGAATCATTTTAATGAACTGATTCTAATAACTCAATGGAAATGCCATTCCACATTATTACAAATAACTTCATTTCTAGACATTTATGGTTTGATTTCTTTGTATGTATGGATCACTTGGGTTGTTACCAACATCTGGTGAAAATTTCATGTCATTAGCACCTCTAGTAATATATTTACTGAGAAAAATGGTGACGTGTTCAATCTTTATTTTACTCGCTGTATATCAGTATGAGTGAATATAAATTGCCAACTGAACTAAGTTGAGGGGGTCAGGGGCCAGATTTCTGTTGATACTGAGGTTATGTTTGTTTCTAACTTGTTTTGTCTGAATGCATCGTAATTCTCTCTGCAATGTTTCTATTTAAGTCAACCCAGATGGGTCTGTTTACAGTGTGATATAACAGTTTTCAGCTCATGGCTCTTACTTGTTGCTGCTGTAGAGAGCAGCCAGCTGATGGACCATGCTGACCACCACTTCATAACATCTTGAAACAAAGCAGGACAGCTCCTATAAAAAGAAAGAAACAAGTCAAACTGCAGCGCCAATGCTGAATCCAATTCAGTTACGGAAAAAAAAAAGTTTAGTTTTACCCACCTGTAGGAATGAAATGAATCTGCCCATTTGAATCTGCGACTCTCCTTCAACAACGCTGGTTTCACACACTGTAGCACAAAAACACTGAACATCTTATTTCCATCAACAAAGTAAAAAATGCAGTGAAGGCTATAAGAAAAGTCACTATAAAGGTAAATAGAGATGACAGCCTACCTCCCTCTCCATAGTACAATAAACCATTATAGAACTTGGTTTCTGCCTGAATTAAAATAATAATAATAATAAATGAGTTCACAGAACACAATCAAACCAACCTGAGCACTGTTCTGACTGTACCTACCTCATATTTGAGCTTTTTCACTTCACTACAGAGAGCAGCATATACGGTGATGACTTTGTTCAGAACCTGCACACAACAAAGCTGCTCAAAACCAAAATCACTTATTCAGCTGAGTAGATTACACATTTGAATTTACGTACCTTGTTGTCTGTTTTAATCATCTCTAATAAAGACGACTGTTCGTAAGGGAGAAGCTGATGGAGAGAAGATGGAGTTAGGAGGCAAATACAAGTTTGTTTTGTGTAGCAGGCTGATGTAAAGCTTCTGAGTTCAGATGTTTTACTTTCAGTGCGATGGGGTCAAGAGTGAAGTCCCAAACGTCTCCTATGGAGTCGTCCAGAGCTTCTTCAATGCCCTTCAGCTGGGAGGTGTACTCCTCCAGGAACCGGCTGTAGCTCTTCAGCTGGACCTCTGTGTGTATTTCTGTCAGGTTTGACAAAGCAAGCGACTGAGTGCATTTAACCTGCATTGGAATATGCTAAACTCAAAAATGTACTTCTTCTGCACTGTGCTATTTATTTCGCTTTGTGAGCTTTATGATCAGCTCATACACACATCTTTGTAAAACAACTACCTCTAAATCAGCAACAAAATGTACTGTATGCATGCAATACACATAAATCATGACACTGCAAACCAATATGCGATTTGAATGGTTTCCATTAATTACACATTATTATTATTATTATTATTATTATTATTATTATTATTATTATTATTATTATTGTTGTTGTTGTTGTTGTAGTACAATACTGTGACAAAGTCACATTATTTGTTGTTTGCCTCCAGTCAGACTTCCTTTAATTTGTACTGTCTATTATATTTGGAAGCTGGAAATCAAAGGCACTTTAAACTGCAGAACAGCTGTGTTTACATGTCATGTTACAAAAGACATGGTTGAGATGCTACAATGCTTAATGAAGCTGTTGCTAGGAAAATATATCAGGCATCAGCCAAAATAGATGCTAAGAAATAGGATATTGGTGCTGCTGTTTAATGTCAGAAATAAATTAAAAACGTGAAACTGCTGAAAATGTCGAAACTACAGGTTAGCGAACGAAGCTAGCCTTTAACTTTACGACCTAATTACGTCTTAACTTGTCTTTTAGGACCTCCACTCTAACCAAACACAAAAMTGTTCAACAAGTTCTCGTTTAAAGGTGATTAGTTTTAACTAACCAGTAATGTTTGGCTTCCTCTGATTTCATTAGCACAAGAAGCCCAGTAGCGAAGCTAACATTGGAAGCTAACATTAGCTAAAGTTTCCTCCGTCGCTGTTTTTCTCTGAATCCCAGGACTGAGCGGCGCACTTACTTTGTGAGCCGTCATCAAAACGGTCAAACTCCCAGTCAGGTGCAATGGTGTCCACGGCCATGTTTCCAGAAAAGATCACCCAAAACCCAGAGAGAAATGCTACAAAATAGAGCTGCACAATCCCATGATGGATCTTGTGATTTTGGCCGCTAGCGCTCATGGGAAATGTAGTCCACTGTGAAGAGCATCTGTATAGAAACAAGCATCACACTTTCTAATCCTGTTGTCCTTTCTGTGTTTCTTTTTTTTTCTTTTTTCAAATCAACCCAGTGTGCTTTTTGTTAAATAATGAACATTTGAATCTCATTAAAATGATTTATTAGGAACAATGTCAGAATTTTTTTCTTAGCTCATTGTGGCCTTATTAGTGTATACCTACTTTTCTCATATTTATATAAATCTGACCCTGCCAGAAACATAATTATCATATTTATACAACAGTTTTGGAGTCTATACAATATACTGTACAATAAAAAGGTTTTAAAAAGCCCAAATAAACATTTAGACATTGCTTTCCCAAAAAGCCACATTCATTCCTTTCTTTTTATCATGTAAATAAAATGTTACCTAGGTATCTAAACAACTTTAACTTTAACATTACCCACAAAACTGTCTTCTTTATCCCTTTCGAAAGTTTAAATATGTTTAAAAAAACTTTGGGTGTAGAAAAAATTTATAATTCCTTGCTTTGTTCATCGTAAAACACAAATGTGTTTGAGAAGTGCAGATGTGGACTGTTACGGTTRTCTAGCATTCTGGGTTAAGGGTCCAGATCAAGGAAGATTAAGTGTGAAAATCAGGGGTTGGGAGTTTCAAGATGATCAAAGTTTGTTAGCAAATAGCATGATAAGTTGATCAGGTCAGCAGTTGTCTGACTATGTGTGAAGGATGCAGAGGGAGAGGGAGGGGGTGAATACTTATAAAAGCTGTGTGCCACATCTACCAGGCAGAGTCTTTTTGTAAGCTCTGTAGCTTATTGATGCTCTTCTACTGCTGTGGAATAAAACTTTATATTTTTATTTCTAATTGGCTGTCTCACTGCCACAGGTTAATATTTGAGATATTTAAATCTAATGCATTCATTGTTGCAGGTATTTTATCTTCATTTTTCTTAGTAAATCCAAAAATAGTTGGAGTGGTGAAAAAAATCGCATTGATTGTTGCAGAAAATTTGTCAAAATGGACCTTTAAAGAAGTTAAAGTAGCAAACAACTATAAATAACACTGAGGATGCAACTTTGCTTCTCCAAATTTTAGAAAATAGTGAAATGTTGTCCTAAAACGCAGCTGATTATTACTGTATGTGTGCACACTGCTGCAGGGCTGAGGGAGTCAACAATATAAGGGTTTTCTGTGTGCACATGTGTGTGTGTGAATGATAACTGGTGACACAATGACAACTCAACGCACAGTCCATCGGATGACTGTCATGATCGGCAGCAGTGTGCCAGAATAGATGCTTCTTTTGCTCCAAAGGCGTTCTGTAAAACGGTAAGATGTCTCCTTTTTTCCATTTTCCATTCTGATTTGCATTTAAAAAGTCATGTTTTGACTTTTCTCGATTATGAAATATGTGGTTGTAAGAAGCTGAAGAGGCACACCAAGAGAAAGAAGACATTTGGTTTTGTGATTAAACTGGGATTATCTTGGATTTTTATCATCACTCTTTTGACATTTAAACCCTGGAATAAATATAAATATGTTTAGTGTAAACTGCTGTTTCCTACTGTCCCGAGCTTTCTCTTTTTTTTCCCCAATGTTTATATATTTATATTCAAAAGGGAATTATACAGCAAACTGTTTTTGACATGTTTCCTTTAATACAACCTTTAGCAGCTTGTGATCAAGTTTTACATTTTGAACATTATATTTGTATAATTTAAGAATTTTGGCTGTTTAGCTTCGGTCGTCTTCCAGGAATTTCAGCTGAATCACATAGCTTATGTGAAACAATTCAGCCTCAGTGCTGCTGATGGGACTGAAGCATGAAGAATGATAATGTAGGCAGTCTGTGTCATCAGGAGACTGAAACAGCAGCAGTCCTGTCTGACAGAAAAAAAAACAGCTGTCACATGGCGACATAGATTAAAACAGGAGACACACATTTTCCAAACATAGCTGACGTCACTGCAAACACTTATAATAAAAAAATCCTCTTACATCTGTATTTAAAAAAAACTTAAATGATATACTGCGTATCGGTATTTGTTGTGTCACCTCTTTTTCTTAGTTTACTGGGAAAAAAAGTAGGATTCTAAATGCAAAATCTTTTTAATTACTTTAAATATTACAATTTTGCTTTAAATACAATTCTTTGAAATACTTCGAAGGAATTCTTCTGCGGTGGGCACAGTTCCCCTAAAGCACTAACAGGGGAACTAATTTCCTGATTAGTGCTTTAGGGCTTTTGCTAATTTTAAAATTTATGAGCGGATTAGCACTTGCTAAATTTATAGGCTATAAATTAGCACTAACTGAGGTTTATAAATGTTATTGATCAACGTTAATGTTAACAGATGAGGGTGAAAGCTGTCACACATTTTGTTCATATGTGTATCACTTATTCACTATGGTGACAATTTATGAAGACAAATACAGCTGTGGAAGGTCAATGCTAAGTCTAAAGAGAGCAACATGGCAACATGTGACTCATGTTGTCTGTTTAAAAAAAGTTCATATGTTGATTGCGCCATTTTAGTGCTTTAGAATTAGCTTTTACTGAAACTTTAAGTGCATTAGTGCTTTAAAATTAGGGGACCTAAATGTTTGATTTAGTGCTTTAGGGCTAGCAAAACAAATTTTTAGGTTAGTGCTGCTCACCACTGGAATTCTTTTTGTCATTTAAATTTGACAAACAAAAGCTTCTTATCCGCCCAAACTCTTTCAACACAAACACATACCTTTTGTCAAAATTTGATTGATGGCTAACCCTGACCCCTTCTCCTCGTACAGACCACCCTGACCCTCCCCCACAAACACACATTCTGAAGCATCCAACTGAGTCTCTTTCTTCCAAAGTGAGTTCATTTTTCTGTTGACAGAAGAAAAAGTTTTTGCAGTTTACTGAATAWGAACATACCGGAATGTGGATTAATTTCGAACATTTTTGTTGTCTGTGTTGGAGATTTAGGCATTGTAAATTCAATATAAAACAACTGTGACATGCAATTCCTTCTCTGGTAAAGGAGTTTGCTCCTGAGATGTAAAATTAGACACACAAACATGTTTACCACCCAAAGCTATTTTTAACAAATGAGCTAAGCATGAGCCCATTTTCCCATTCTTAAGGAATTGCTGAGTCGTTAATTTAAGAACAACTCCTGACCGAAACACTCCATACACCTCAGTACCATCAAAAAAACTGATTTTGAGGAAAAACGCCTTTAAATTTAGAGATTTTCCCTGTGAGCTAGCAATGTTTTTGTTTCTTTTCAGCTGGGAAATGTCAATATTCGAATACCATTTGAGATTTTCTCTTTATAATGAAATGAAAAATCCCTCATTAAAATGACATAAAATTAAGATTCAGACCAAATATCAATGTATTATCGTAACCAATAAGACAAATTAAGGCATACCTCTGGTTCCGTTTATGAAATCAGAATGATCTAAATAACAAAATGTAGCTTTTAAAGCCTGGAATGTGAAAATGTAATTAGATAATTTTGACCAAATTTGACTTAATCCTCATTTTGATATGATGGGTCACATTTTTGATTAATTTTGATACTAGTTTCACTCTAGAAACTATAAAATGATGAAATGAGAACTATGTAAACTGTCCAGAATTTAGTCTTTAATTCAAACTTTTGTTGGTTTTATTCTTTGTTTTTGTTTTAGACCTCCGTTTAAATCACCWGGTCAGAACGTTGAGCAGCAGAAGAGCCCAACATCACAGCATGGTTGTCCCAAAATCACCGGAAAAGAAACTGCCCCAAAATCTTTGTTTGGAAGCCCGCCTCAGTCCAAACCCATCCCTGTCCCAGAACTCTGGAGGTCTCAAACATTCGAGCTCTAATGGAAGCTTCTCATCAGTCACAAGTCTGGAGCTTCGGCCTCAGGAGTTCAGCGAGACGGACGCTCTGCTCCCCAACGAGCTCTACGGTGGGTCCAGGTTCAGCAGATCTTTGAGCTCAAAGGACCCCGAGGGTTCATCTGGACCTGAGGAAACAGTGTGCTCCATGGTGCTGCAGATCCTGGTACCGTTTCTGCTGGCTGGGTTTGGGACAGTTTCTGCAGGGATGCTGCTCGACGTGGTCCAGGTAAGGAAACGGACGAGAGCAGACACCGTGAAGTCTCCCAGAGTTTTAGATCTTACATCACATTCACACAGTTTACATCATGGCCAGAAAATAAAACAAATGTTTCATCTAAGACGTCTGCGGCCATCTCTCGGTGGTTTGTTTGCATCTCTGCTCTCTTTGTGTTTTTGTGGCAGAGCTGGGATGTTTTCCAGGACATCTCAGAGATCTTCATTCTGGTTCCTGCTGTTTTAGGCATGAAGGGGAACCTGGAAACGACTCTCGCCTCTAGACTCTCCACCGCTGTGAGTGTTTGAGCACAGGTCCATTTTGTTGTCCCACTGCTCCTTTAAGCTGGTGCACGCATCTAACAGTTAATTTGCGAGAGGCGGAGTACACTTTCTTGTCTCCAGAGGCACCCCACGTATTAAATCAGAAGCACTTCTGTGCCAKCTCTTTGTCTCAGGGGTCCTAATTCCTTCTACTGAAGAGTCCACCTGAATAATGATGAGTGGATTATTTGAGCTGGTGGGGGAGGATTCATCCAGACTCTCACTGCATTCTTCTGAAAGCCACAAGCTGCTGTAGTGTAAAAATGACTCTAACTCTAGGTTAAATTACTTGCCTAAATTAAGATATTGTTTGTTAAGTTATTTACCAGTAATCAGCCTTTTCAATAAAATACTTCCAATCCCAAAACCAGATTCAGTCAAGCAGCAAACACAACGAGACAGGCTCTGAAGCTAGCTTAGATAAAGGTTTATTTCATGCTCCCAAAAAACATTTGGCGATCCAAAAACCTTGATTTAAGGCAGTCTGGCCTATGTTGACTAAAGGTGAGCGATTGAGTTCCCCTTTTCTGACCCTTGATTTTTACACAATTGAAACCAAAATCTAGCCTATATGATAAAAAATCATTTTAAAGAGTGAGTTTTATATTTTTAACACATGCATACATGATGCTCACATTGTCTTGATGACATTTTGACGTTCAGCTGTCATTTGTCTGCTCCTCTACTGAAAACACCTTATGGAAGAATATCCCACTGCATCAGTGAAAGATATTACGGTGTAAGAAATATGTGTTTTAATATGGTATGTCCGAATAAACAGCTGGATTTCTTGTTAAAAACTTTATTTCAGTCCTCTGACTCCAATCAGGTTCATTCAGCTCTCAGCAGCACAGGCCTCAGCGTGCAACCTTGGGCCAAACCAAAACAAACACGGGAGCTCTGCTCTGAGCAGACACTCTGCAAAACACTGACAACTTCTCTCTACTATAATAATGAATTGAGCTTATAATGTTCATCCCTTCCTGGTTACACCCCAGGAGGTGTTACCTTTTACATCAGACGTCAGAACGTCACTCAGTTTTGTTTAGGCTAAGAGAAAGAAAGAAATGATAACACACCAACTCTTTGTCAGCTTCAACCTTACAGACTGAAATGATCAGAAAGTAGAAAATACAAAACTGAATCTAATATTCAATTAATCGGTTACAAAATTTCTTCAACGGTACACTACACGATCAAAAAAATCTTTAAATGGCACGGATATTTTACACAGTCTCAGATCTCGTATCCAGCCAGTCATTAATCTAACTTCAAACATGCTGAGGACGGTTCTTCTAATGAATAATTATCTCTCTGCAACTTTTTAGTGTTGCCTCCTCAGGTCACATTCAGTTCAAACGAGCCTGTGTTACTGCTTCACAACTTTTAAGTCACTCATCTATTGATTACTTTTTCTTATATGATTACATTTTTTCATCACAATTTTTACTAGCTCTCCTGTTGTCGATATTTCTGGGCAGTATTAACGTCAACACTTGCTGTTTTTCTCATCTTTTTATGGCCTAACATCCACCTTGCCGATCAGCCTATTTTTTTTCTCCGTCCCTACACACTTTACTAAACTAAAAGTCAGCATTGCGTTACCATTAAGTCTATAATAAAATCAGCAATATCTATGTTGAGTATAACGTTCTATGTATTGTTTAAGTTTTACCCGATCATAATACTGCAATCACACAGGAAATCCTTTTTTACTTTAAWACTATGTAATTTATCCAGTTAATGCCCTTCATTCTTTAAATTATTAAAACCACAGTTAATCAACACACTCAGTTAATATACTAGTTATACAACAACTAATCAATGCATATCTTTGTTATTGCATGTAATTACACCCTTCACTCTCTTGGCCTGAAGCAGAATCACAGTTATCTGCTGCTGCACGTTCTCTGAATTAAGTAAATGTCTTTTCTGATGTTTTTATATATTTCTATTAATTTAACAAGTTAGGTTCATTATTTCAGAGCTGTTTACCAGTTGTTTTATTTCAGGTGAATGCTGGGAAAATGGAATCTTCCAGAGAAAAGTGGTTGCTAATCGTTGGTAACCTGGCACTTAAACAGGTGAGTGTTTCCGTTTCAGATGATTAACTTTTATATTCAGTGAAAAAAGCTGATCCTTTAATAAGGCATGTTTCAAATGTATGTTGTGTTCTTTGCTTTACACTTTGCAGCTACAAGCCACGGTGCTGGGCCTGCTGGCGTCCGTCATGGCGACTCTGTTGGGCTGGATGGCGGAAGGACAGATGTCCTTGAATCACTTGGTGCTCCTCTGTTCAACCAGCCTCTCTACGGCTTTCGTGGCGTCGCTGCTGCAAGGTGGAAACTCTGCTCAAATCTCTTTCCTTAAACGAAGGAGGCTTAAACACAATTTATTTTGCATTAGCTATAAGTAGGGGAGACCGGGGACAGTAACAGCAAGGGACGGTTGCAACACGTCATTTTTCTCCCAACAGAAACAAGCTAGAGTGATGATATTCACACTGTACATGCTCAGTTAGATGCCCCACCTTGCAAAGAAAAAGTTAGCAGTTTCAAAAACTGCTCCAGGATTTATTTGAAAAAAAAAWKKTTTTKARGKWMCMAARKWWTTTTTTTTTTGCCTAGCTTTATTTTTGTAATACTGTTGTCACTGTTTTTGTGATCCAGCTCAAACTTATATGGTTTAAACAAGTGAAATGTTGACTTTAACTAATATAGTTAACATGTATCCATATCAGCTTATAACACATGAGGTTTTATCATGGCTGACAGGAAGGGGGACAGTTGCAACAGTTGTTGCAACTGTCCACATACGATAAATCCATDTAAAAACAGAGGATTAAGATGATATCAAGATGTTGAAATTAAGTTTACACTTAAAAGGGTATTGGGTAGTCATGAATTTTTATAGTTTAAAACTTAACTGTTTAAGATGTATTTTCTACAGTTGTTGTTTCCAACAATGGCTTTAAAATCCCAGTTTCTTTCTATGTAAATTATGCATAATGTGACAATAGGCGAAACAAAAGTTAATTGCCTCACAAATTGTTCTATTGTCCTTGTCTCAAAAAGTCAACTGTATTTTATATCAATTAGAGTCGTTGACATCTGTACATAAGGTCTACTCATCAAGGCAAATCTATATTTGTCATTTGATCAAAAAGAATAAATAAATAACACTGTAATATACTGTAATTATAACTTAGTTTTTATTAATTTAGCAATAATATAAATATAAAATTTATAAAACTTTTATTTACAGTGAAATATATTGTATTAATAATATGCTGCAACCACCCCCAAACATTGTTGCGACTGTCCCCGGCCCCGGGGCCAGTTGCAACATCTGACTTTTCATTTTCAAATGCAACTTGTGAAGAACGTACATGCTTTAATCATCTATAAATGGTTTTGACTATTGACAGACAGATGTACGTTTATTTTGTTAAAATTCGGTTTGTCTAATTCAAACCATCTCTGAGTAACAGAGTCAAATGCAAAAAGTGTTGCAACTGTCCCCGGTCTCCTCTACACATCCAGACAGATTTTTTTTAAATCCCTGTGTKATCTGCTGTCCAGGTGTTATTATGGTGGGAGTGATTATTGGCTGCAAGAAGATAGGACTGAATCCTGATAATGTGGCCACACCGTTAGCAGCCAGCTTTGGAGATCTCATCACTCTCGCCTTGTTGGCGTGCTTCAGTCAGTGGTTCTACTCCTTYATGGGTGAGAGAAATGTGGACATTGTGATTTGGTTAGTCACTTAGAGAAATGTGTTATGTTCTTCCTCAACATCCAAAACTCTGAAAACCTACTTCAGTGTTTGATGCTGTCCTAACAAATGAAAACATAATTGATTAGAATTTCTTTTGACAGAGTTTTACCCCTACGTGTTGTACCTGGTGGATCTTTTTTATTTATGTCTGATACCCGTTTGGATGGTCGTCTCCTCCAAACACCCGGCCAGTCTCATCCTGCTGCGCACAGGCTGGGAACCAATCATTGCAGCGATGCTCATCAGCAGGTGCGAAAGAATAAAACCCGAGCTGAATTTGTCAGGATGAAATGTTGAGTTAATGTGTCAGAAATATGAAAAAGTTGGGACATCTTGTTAAATGTAATGAAATTGTGAAAAAGAAGATGGTAATGATCAGTAAATCTCATAAACATATTTTATAGGTATTGCTAAATTATATTTGTATGGGTTTTTTCAAGGTACTCGCGTTTGCTTTTACAGTCTGAAATAACATGCGTGTTTGTTTTTTTTTATATACATTTTTCAGCGTTGGAGGACTTATTCTGGACAAGACTGTGTCAGATCCAAACCTGGCGGGAATCATTGTTTATGCTCCAGTCATAAATGGTACATTATTGCTCTCGGCATCAGCGTTCAAAGAGTTAATAACTCAAAAAAGTTGGGTGCAAGCTTTAAAAGAATACACAGAGATGTAAATCTTCCCAGAAGGCATTAGCATACATACATTCAAAGAAAATGTGATTAGTAGTTTCAACATGTTCGTTACAGAATAAAAAAATTGTACATTCAAAGCCAAAACGTTTACTCAAAAAATCAGCAGATGGATATATTCCGTTAATAGTTTTAAAATGAATTTCTTTTTCTTTTAGTGTAATAGGAAATTTGTAAAAAAATTTTTTCCTTAAGTGCTTAGCATCTATTTTTGAAAAGGAATTTGAAATTGGATTTCTGAAAGTAGAAAGGGGATACAGTTCTCTGTTAAATAACCTTCCTGCACACTCTGTCGGACCGGAGCGGAGGCTGTATAAATTGAAACACAAACGAACACCTGCGACCTGCGCACCGCAGCGCAGCAGAGACGCATGTAATGTAAATTGGAACTCCTCTCTTCATGATGGATGAACTCCAACTTTGAACTTGATTTATCCCTTTTTTTTTTAAACTTTGTATCTACTTCAGCCAGTTTTTTTAATGGTGACATCTTCTGGAAAGTCCCTGGCTCCTCCTGCCAGTCAGATCACTGCTTATCTTTCATCTTTCCCAGTTGAAACCAAAAAAGACATCTTAGAGCTTGAATATTTCCCCACCTTGTGCCTGATTGTGACTTTAGTGAACTCTTGACTTGTCATCATAACTTTGTGCTGTCATTGAAAATAATCACATTGCACTGAAACTCAGGTCTCACTAACATGACAAAGTCCATTCACACACAGCAAGCACTGAAACATTGGTGTAACCCGTTTATGTACTACACCCTCTTACGATGATCAATTTTCCTCCGTTTTCGTCTGAAACCTGATCTGATTCCAGCTCCTGCTTGTAACTTGATTTTCCTCCAACCTCCCACGTTTCTACATTTGCTCCTGAATTGTTAAATGTTTTTCTACCAAAACAAAAAAATAAAAATAAAAAATAAAAAATCCAAATTAGGGAGAAAATTTTCCTTTGGCTCTCTCCATCAATATTTATTCAAAGTATTTTTTAAGAAAAAACTTGAGTTCATGTTATGTGTAAATCTTCATTTATTCAATAGATATATTTGCATTGTAGTTATCATTTGTTTAGTATTATCTTCAAAGGTTTCTCGTTCATTGCGTTCTCACCAATCCGCTTTGTTGTTCACCCTCAGGTGTTGGAGGAAATCTGATCTCTATTCAGTGTAGTCGCATATCTACAGATCTGCATTTGAACTACTCAACCAGAGGCATTCCAGAGGGCCATAAAGTCTGTTTGAACCCCTTTTACACCTTCTTTGGATCAGGTATTTTCAATTTCTTTACCGGTCAATAACTCACTCATTATTTGCATCTTACACCTGGAAATGTTTTTAATGTAGATTTCTGTTTTAATAAGTCATTTTCCATATAAAATATATAGTGAAAGGGTATTTTTTTGTAAATGAGGCACAAATATGTCACACATTTTAATCTCACTGAAACTGGCAAGTAGGCATATTTTCTGCTAAATGTAAKTGCTAAATTGCTGCTGAACATTACTGAAGATGAAACTGAGCTGCTGAAGCTAAAAGAAGCAGAACACCAGCTAAAAGAAAGGGTAAAAAGCAGGCAAACACTAGCTGGGAACTAACAGTAGCAAAAGGCTGGTTTTACAACTGTCTAAATTTTCAGTTTTGCCTTGGCAGGAGCAAACCACAGATCTGCTCAAGTTCTGCTCTTGTTGGTCCTCCCGGGTCAACTCATCTTCATACATGTTATCCATCTGATGAAAGGAGGGCTCACGTTGCCCAGCCCTCTCTTCACCGTCTTCTTCTTGTCAGCTTCTCTTATTCAGGTGAGTCAGTCACGTCTGCATACTTCAGCGGCCCTCAGATCAGCAGTAACGCTCTCGTCTCTGTCCGTTAGGTCTTCTTGCTGCTGTGTACAGCTGATTGCATGGTCCACTGCCTGTGGCGGAGGGGCAAAGACCCTGACAGTTACTCCATACCCTACCTGACAGCTCTCGGAGATCTCCTGGGTACTGCCCTTCTCGCTCTTGTCTTTGTCACACTGTGGTGCATCGGTGACACTGGCAATGTATAGGGTCACAAGTCCTGTTGTTGTATTGCATATTGTTGTTTTGACCTGTTTTTATGCATGTAAAGCACTTTGAGTGCACTTACTTATTCTGTTTTAATTTACATTTATTTGGCGTGTATATACAGTATATATA